TCGAAGAAAGAAGCACAATTAGTAAAGCGTCAGTATATTTATAGTTTTTACATGATAAGATTCCAGGTTCTTCCTCAGGTATCCAATAGCGCTGATTGGATAAAAAATAACCTATCGGTATGCTGCAACACAATCCTTCACAGACCGTGCTTTAATCCAATCTATATTCTGCTACCAGTGAGATAGGCTCCTAAATGGCTAATGACAAGAAACCCTATTCACTTCCTCGAAATGTGGCACATTATTAATTTTACGCACTAAGTATGATGCTACGGGTATTATTCCCTACCGTAGCTGTCATAAATACGTGATCGGGTATGCCTTCAAAATGATTTGACTCAGCTATATCAACTGAAACGCATGCTTCTCTAAGTCCTACTGCGCTACGCAGGTCGGTTGGAGATCGGTATGGTTAATAGCCGTACTGCCAAAAGTATCAGTTTGTGACAGCAGTGAAGTGATTCCTTCAAACAACCAGGAACTGCAGAGATGCTGCCTTCTTATAATGGGAGGGGGAGATTAAAAAAGGTCAACTGTAAAAATTTCAAATATCAGGTTTTCACAAGAATGTCCATATCAGGCGATAAGATCTTTGGAAACGAGAAGTTAACACATCAAATGCTTCCCAAGAAAGGCGGTTCGCGACTGATCACAAGCAGTGATCACTTGTACTTTACGGTCACGGTCTCAAGGTGCCAAGACCACCACCAATCGAACCTGATTTGCAAGTACTTCAGGAAACAAACACTCTTTCGCAGTGTGAACAGTCGGCAAGCGAAAGCCGCCTTCGTATTTCTAAAAAACACTAGGATATTTTGTTCAAGGTCTGGTTTCCCCTCACCAGTTGGTTATGCTCCCATCCTCAAACCTAACAGTTCTCGCATAACTTAACCACAACGCGCCACCAATGCAAAGGATTCGAGTTCTGGAAATTTTATTCCTGGTATTCTTAATCTACCCTTTATGCAACATGTTGGATATTTTATTGTTTAAACATTTTGTCAGATAGAACAACAGCCATCCTAAGATAGAACTCCAGAATCTCAATCTCGAAGTATGTCGTGTTTCTAGGACGCTCCGACAGAATCAAGTGCGATTATTCATTTCATGTTTCTTTTTCAGTATGAAGAAAAGATACACTCCGCCCTTTGAGCATTCGGAGACCACCCTGCCACTTCCCACAGCCTTGCTGTTATACTTATAGCGTTGAGTTCAAAAGCAGAAGGTACTCTGCTAGACTGGGTTCTTATAAACAGTCGTTGGAGGTCTGTCCGACTAAACAGGATATTCAGAAATCGGTGAGATAAGATGATGTTACGCTGTCTTCGTTGTCTCTGCCTAAGATTCAACTAAACGCAGCTCGGATGAAGTAAAAGACGAATCGTATGGGAAACTTTTCAGACTCATTTAAAAAGTTAGACACTCGGATATGGTAATAGTGACGGGTAATTTCATTCCCAAGTGGGTCAACTAAATCAAACTGAAAGGTACATTTGGACAGATCTTACTATGTCGCGTCCCGGCAATCAAAAGATAGTGACAATGTGCTGTCATTGTGCCTAGATAAACGTCTTCTCGACAAGCACAAACTTTAGGTATGATGAAAAGTATCGTCAGAAGTGGCGGCCTATATAGTCGACTCAACGATGGACTTCAATAGCCCACATTACCTTCAGCCATGGTTGAAGAAGCTGGATAAAAGGCTGTTGCCAATTCTGGAGCATGCATTTTTTTGCCTCTTAATGTACGTAGAAGAGCCATTAGCAAGAAAACCACTCAAAGTTTAACTTGATGATGCGAAAGTTGAGAATATATTGCAGGTAGAAATTAACCAACCCTGAAAGTGATATCCACTCCAAGGTAGCTCCAAAGAGCTATGGAAACAGTGGTGATATCTACCAGTAACTGAGACCAAGATGTTGTGAAAAATCAATAGATTTCAGTGATGGCTGTTGAACTGGTAGCAGCGATAGGCAACGCTAGACAACTGTTCAGACTTATCAAGGTGTTGTGGATGCGCAGGAATAGACCAATAATTATCATGTTAAGTCCAATGGTGTCCTTGGACTTTAAATGGAATTTCCTATTGGTCGATATCTGTTCACTTGTACAAAATGTTGTTTTCTATTTTTATGGTACGCTGTGGTATGCTTGACTGATATATAAACAAAGTATGTTTGAAATATAATGATTCATATCCCCGAGGCTGTGATTTGTGTTCTGGACTCAACTGACTGGGCTAGACAGGGAAGTGGGACCAATCGAGACTCTAGGTCGTCCGTTCATGTTTACGTGTCACTGTCACAGATCGCGATCAATAATACGCTGTGTATCAAAACCTGCAGTTCCTACACGCTATAACAATTGGCGACGGGGTGGAGAAAAATTTTGAACCTTGTAATTGTACGCGATTCAGGCTAATTGTTTCGACCAATCAGCATCCAGATTGTCACCAGCGTCCTTGAGCAACATTGGTCATTATTCCTACAGTTAATTTTCATTGCTGGTGCTGAAAAAAAAATGACTACCTGTTCCGATCAATTACAGCTTCTACTTGAGCAACAACAGCAGTGTTTCAAAAATAGCCAGTTGAATTTTTTAGAAAATTTACGCACACTGTTGGTAAATTTTCCATGTTTCGGAAATGCAACAGAAGTTGGTAATTTCATTTCCCATCTGCAGACTGAGCTGGAAAACAACTGCAGAACATATGAAGCTGCCTATAAAAGCCTCTGTGAATCCCGGACGACCAGTTATGTAAACGAGACAATCATTCATGATCCGCCCAGTTGTTCAGAAATGTCAAATTCAGAAACATTCCCTGTTGTGGGTTCAAATCCCACTGTGCCTGAAACATGTGAGGTATCCAGCTTACAAGAAGAACCTCTCGTGTCAGAAAATGTTTCCCGTGCATCAAATAATGGTCAGAAATCTAATACGAATTTCAAAGATGCTGTTTGTTTTAGTGACCTATTATCCAGTGATAGAATTTTGAAGAGGTCTGAAGAATATGTTGCACAAGAATCAAACCTTAATGACCTCATGTCTGGTGTCGCTAATCCTCATCATCTAGTCAGTCTTAGTGACCCCTCTACTCAATGCGCGAAATATGCTTTAATTCGAATCAGACTGACTGTTACTTGGGTAAATGAGGACCCAACGTTATTTCGTGGGGGAGGATGAACCCAGGAAATTTCAAAATCCGGATATCAACTCCGGATCTTCAAAAAAAGGGGAGGTGTTGTGGATGCGCAGGAATAGACCAATAATTATCATGTTAAGTCCAATGGTGTCCTTGGGCTTTAGATGGAATTTCCTATTGGTCGATATCTGTTCACTTGTACAAAATGTTGTTTTCTATTTTTATGGTACGCTGTGGTATGCTTGACTGATATATAAACAAAGTATGTTTGAAATATAATGATTCATATCCCCGAGGCTGTGATTTGTGTTCTGGACTCAACTGACTGGGCTAGACAGGGAAGTGGGACCAATCGAGACTCTAGGCCGTCCGTACGTGTTTAGTGTCACTGTAATCGATCGATAACACAGGGTAGAAATCGACATCAACTTAAAGTCATAACACAAGGAAACGTAAACAAAAAGTCGTTCCGTTAGTGAAACTATCAGGGAAAATGATGAAACACAATACTTCAAAACAGTTCAACTGGCTTTCAGATGCACCTACGCATTTCACACTTTTATTCAACTTTGCCATCGGCATGCTTTTAGGGCTAACACCTGACTGAGTTTTCAGAGATTAGCTTTTCACCAGAAGATTCACTTGGCTTACAAAACGCAAATGATATGGTTCTGTTTGGTGACGACGCTGACTAATACAAAGTCTTTTGACCACCTGTAGTAACAAGACAAACACGCTTGGGACGCGATTCTCGCCCTTTGTATGCAAAATGTTGCTTCGGGATTGGATTGCCTCAGTGCCTCACTTGACGATTGGGAGTAAAGTAGTTGAGCGTGTCGATTGCCTCACTTATTCTTGGAGTCTCACCAGTCCTGATGGTCTGATGTCTGACGAGATTTTGACACGAATTTAAGACTCAACTGGCTTCTGACAAATTTAGTTCTCTCTGGTGTGTGCGAGCTATCCAACAACAAGTTTGCTGTGCCGTAGTTTGCTCCATCGTACTTTATGGGTAGGAAACATGACCATTAATAATACAGGATATTCGCAGATTACCAGTATTCGATTATGAGTGTTTCGAAAGTGTTGCTCAAGCATTTTAAAGTCAACGAGTAAGAAGTGGGTGGGTGTGGGAAAAGGTACTAAATGGGTATGATAGATCAGCTGAATAAACAGTAAATCTTCATCAACTGAGGTGGTTGGGACGTATGCTGTCTCAAATCCATCCACAGCCTACCTCGATGCACGATGTTGGCTGGTGCAAAAACCAGGTGGGAGGAGGCATTTGACGGCCAAATGAAAACACGAAACCATTCCGTGACGTCACTTACGTTTGGACCTAGCTATATTAATAGGTACAAACTACCTTGTTAGGGTCCGTGTGATTATCGTAGCCAATGGTTAGAGACTTTGAATGATATGGCTGTGTGTCTATTCATTTTCTTCCCCAAATCTATGAGACTCTAAATCCTTCATGGCTTAGTTCGTTTTTGTTTCACCAATTTATTTTTTTTCGAGTCGTATCTTCGATGCCTACACTTTCATAGTATCACTGAAATTGTTACTACCTTCACTATTCCACGATTTCTCCTGACAGTCTCGTCGCACTGTGCTAATAGAGTATGGAGAGTTGGATTGATGCACATAAGTGTTAGGTTCCAAGTTTTGATCATTTACTTGTTAAACGTCTCCAAATATCTTTCTCGAACGTGATTGAGGTAATGAAATTTGATAACCGTCTTTGTTGAAAATAATCCTTACGAAATTAATCTGACAGTTTCCTAGAAAATGATATAATTCTGCAAGTTCAAGTTAATTAATGTTGTTATGGTGTTTTTTACAGTTTTAATACGCTCTTATTAGTGCCGCAATGGTTGACTGACGGTTCAGTTTACAATGTTAATTACTTGTCCGTTTACTTGTTAGTGCGACAAGTATATTCTATGTTTGGAGATCGTCAGCTGTCTGTCATTAGTCCAGCTACCAGGGATAAGGAAGTCTTCAAATGGATCCCCTGCAGGGTACTTTAATTTTCTATTCATGAAACTGAATGTCATGACTTTTCTTAATCTAATTCCTTTTTTAGCCAGGGGAAATCAAGGATGAAAACTCAGAAATTGTTGACGTTATTAGTTGGGTAGTGTCTGATGTCAAAGAAATGTCCGAAAATCCAGCACTGGTTGAGCTTCTCAAGGAAACGGACAGGAGCTCCTATGATGATGTATCGAAACTTTGTGATGTGTACAATAAAGCTATCATAGATCTTTGGGACATGGTATGATCCTTATCTTATTTTCGATTCCGTAGTGGATTGAGGAAAATACTGTCCCTGAATTTTTCAACCGAAAAGCTTCCCGTGGTCATGTTCAGTTCATTCTTCTTCAATGTTATAATCGAGCTGTATCAGATCCGGATAAACTGAATCAATATCCACCTTTTTCGCCTCAAGTGTATGGGGAGACTTCCTTCGAACTTATTTCACAGATGATCGACACGATCGCAGTTACTAGTGACGACGTATTTATCGATCTTGGGAGTGGTAAGCTAGAGTGATAATTTATCCATCAAATTAGGTGTTGGTCAGGTTGTCCTTCAAGTATGTGCCTCTACTGATGCGAAATTTTGTTACGGAATTGAAAAGGCTGAATATCCCGCTAATTGCGCATCGCGTCTTGACTCAACTTTCCGTCACTGGATGAGCTTTTACGGAAAGTCTTATCGACCCTACACGGTAACTAAATTTTATGCACCGTGTTTTGCTTGAATTGTCCTTGAAACTCTTTGACGAACTTTCCTTAAAATTCTATATTTTTATCAATGTTTTCAACTGCTTCAGTACCTCAATTCAAACCCAGAAAAGTCGATTTCTTTGTGGTTTTTGAACTCTTTGTGCACAGAGGGAAATACAAGTTGATCTCTCACATTTTTCGTTATTTTGTTCTCAGTTGGAACGCGGAGATTTTCTATCAGCGGAGTACCAAGAGAAAATAACAAATGCTGGCGTCCTTTTTGCAAACAACTTTGCCTTTGGTCCAGAGGTGGATCACCAGCTAAAGCAAAGGTTTGCTAACCTTAAAGAAGGTGCTCGGATAATCTCTTCAAAGGCTTTCTGTCCTTTAAATTTCCGAATCACTGATAGGAATCTCGGAGGTACGGTTTTTTTGTAGCTTGTTTCACACATTCTCTGGAGTTTTCGGATGATTTTTATTGTATGCTGATAAATGTTGCTTATAGACTAATGTCTGTAACGTCACACTCTCGAAATGATTTATTTTACACAAAAGGTAAATCTTATTTAAGAGAGTCATATCAGTAATTTTCAACGTGTGTCTGATTCGAATAGCCGATGTAGATTGTCTTCGTAATTTGTTATTGATATTTTCAGCAAGGTTAATACAGCATAAATGACTTGTTAGCGTGATGTCGTGTTTCTCAAGCTGACCATTTCTACTTATCCTAAAGATGAGGTTCTTTTATTTGTAGTGGGATATAGTTTAAAAGGTAGTGATGTATTTATAAACGTTAAAATCAGACAAACTATTGGTGAAAAACAGCTTTATGGTATTACTGTCTGAAATACGATGTAGATTTCTTTTTACCGAAAACGCTACGTAAACTGATATATGTATACTGTTGATTTGTCACAATTAGATGATTTCAAATTCATGTGCTTATCTAAATTTTTAATATCTTCTAATGATTCAGTTATGTCGCTTCATTGTCGTCGATGAAGTAGAGATAAGGAAAAATCGAAATTATAAAAATAATGGTCTGGATGAAATAAGAGCGAACGACATCTGGCAGATTAGCTATAGCATTGGTAGATAGTCTTCAATAAACAGTGTTGCAGTTTTAGAGTGGTGTTACAGTTATTCTCGAATGTAACGAAACACTTAGACACACATTTTTTTTATCGAAATGTTGCACAAATATGTGGAAAGAATATGAGGCGTTAAGAATTCTAAGAGTAATGCTAATCTTTGGAAAATATAGTCGTAACCCATCTTTGTAGATTAATATCCGTAAGTCAATTTTTTCGTTCTCCACATAAAACTCATTTAGTTAATCATAATCGAAATAGAGCTTCATACTAGACTAATCGACTAATTTATATAATATCAATCTGTGTGATGTATTCATTGCTGAATTGCAGACTACTGGTTATCTTTACCGGTTACCAGAAATGGTTTATTTGCCCAACTATCTAAACCATTTATATAAATTGGACGTTATCCAAGTTCAGCTTCTTGTACTTAGCATCGAGCTACACTTTAGATCTGTAGGCTGTTAATAATACCACATGGTTTCCCCAACGAAAGTAGGTGAAAATTCCGAATGCGAAGGTCTCCTAACGATTGTTTATTATACTACCTCCAAAGTTGCACCTTGATTTTTTGTCTTTAAGTTAACACCACTGTGACATATCCAAATACGTTTTATACTCTACCACTATGAAATATAATTGGAAGCTGTTTCTGTTTACAGGCATTCTGTATTCTAATTTCTAAGGTTTGCGGTCTAATCTTCACTCTTCTTAAGAGTGATATTTCCGAATCTGTAGCGTACGTGAGTTTTAGGTTAACGGTTTTGACAATTTCTAGCTGTTGACCTATATTATATAGGGTTATTACTTAATATTAGCCAGTCATATGTGTATCATTGCTTTGTACGGCGTCTTCCTTTTTGAAATTCCATTTATGCAAGCATATTTTCTCAAGTCTTTTACTTTTGATTATACTCAAAGCTAAGAAGCAATCTTTTCCTGGTTCGCTTACGCTATATATACATATTATTCTATTAGATATTGGATCAATCATGCGTGTGAGCTGTTTAAACCCAATCCAAGATGCAGTTTCATGGACTGACAAACCATTTAGCTATTATGTTCATACAATTGATCGTTCGCTGGTAAGTCTACTCTTGAATAATTTTCTAGTCTCCATATGTCCAAACTGCCCTAATATTCGTTGTCTTGTGGGAGAAATTATTGATTCAGTTAGCCGTACATTCTAAGTAGACTCATTTAAGTTGACATCAGTCTCCACTCTACAGTAAACCACAAACGGTTTGGTTGTAAAGAAAGCAGCGTCATGCTTATCAAGGGAATTTAGTTGTCCGTCCGAAAGATTCATTTTTGTAAGATCACTAATATCCAAGTTATTTGATTGTAATGTTAGGCTGACAAATGCAACAAACAATACTCCGTATTTACCTTTCTAAGAGATACGCCTAATAGCTGAAATGTCTTCACCTACCTAGCCAGGTCGATTTATCTATTTGAAAGCTAGTATTATTTACCATATTTTCATTTACAGTTCTAGTGTACACACCTATAGTTTACTTACATCTGTAGATAGTTGATTTCATACAAACCGCTCTCATTTGCAATCGTTTAGTCTACAATTATAATAACATTAGTTTCCTAAGGTCTATTCAACCTATTTGATATATTTTCTGAAACCTATGTTGTATTTGAGTTTTCATTATGATTTTTACCATTTGGATAACAATTGTTCTACTTTTGATTTGATTTTAGTTGGAACAATACTTTGCTCGTTTAAAAAATCCGAAATCTAAAGTATGTTAATCTGTTTATTTTCAGAGGTCCAAGGTTTGGATCTGTTTGCACTAACAATGTTATGATTTACGAAATTTATACTTTGTAATCGTAGTAAAAATTGAACATTATTAGATAACTGGTTCTTTCTACAAAGTTGTGTGGGTTTGAAAAAATCTCAGACTGTCGTACCACTCAATACTTCAAAGAGCTACTTTGGACGGAACATTAACCACATTTTCACTAAGGGTGTTGTACCCCGATGGCTTTTTGAATAATGCTGATAGACTAATATGGCAACTCAAAACTCACGCAGTGAAATCGATCAAATTTGTCATCTGTATCCTCTAATTATGTTAAATGGCGTTTTGGGCATCATCTCAACTTGCTTAAATTTCTTTCGATTGTCCTCATTCACTCTGCATTCAATTTATTTAGCAATCTCAATTTGGTTAAGTTGGTCTTTCAAAAATAGCTACAGACTAATTTTACTGTTTAAAAATTCCTTATCACGAAGAAGTTTAGTTCGATGTAGTATGTATTCAAATCAATGTAAAAATTGTGGATTCAACCGTCTGTATAATCGGGAGTTTCTCGTATTTATGAAGTAAAATGAAATAAAAAAAACATTTCCTAGTTCTTCTGAGTGGTAAAATCGGCACTATATTGTATGTATAGCATGAAAAGCCAGTAAGAATATTACTAGCCATTCGAACCGTTTAGCCCTCAGTAATTCTTAGGAAAGACGGCTTATTGGTTAAGGCGTTCGACTTTCAAACAATAAGTCTCAGGTTCAACCCTTGCTTCACCTACTTAGGTTCAGGTGACTGGGTAGTATCATTAGCCTCTACACTCAAAGTATGGTTCATACCCAAGAACCTGGTAAATGAGTTAACTTACATTACTTAATTATTTGCTAGTTTTCTTTATTATTTATTTGAATACATAAATACCGGTACAAGGGGGCACCGAATATATATGCGCCACACTGCTAGTTTACCACAAAATGTTTGCATGCAGTATAGAGTATTAGGTATCAATGGGTCAGATAGGATTTACTTCACATTATCATACTTCATAGAAGGTTAAAGTAGTGGCATTATGGTTAAAACACTTGGTTTACAATCATTAGGTTGCTGGTTAATACCCTACCCCACCTATTTCGGTTCTGGGGGTCGAGTACCATTTTTATTCTTCACATAAAAGCATACCTCAAAGCCGAGTACATAAACCTATTATTGGTATGTTGCGTTATTTGTTATTGTGGAAGAAAGGAACGAACAACAAAATATAGATATTGTGTCTATTCAAGTGTTATCTGGGTACCCAGACTACGGTTGACAAAGCACCGTTTTATGTTTGATTCATTCACTGAAAGCCAAATTGCCTCATTATCCTGATCGATGTCATCCCCAATCAAACCTAAAATCATAATCTCTCACTTCTAAGACCAAAGTCTCATCCAATATTAAATAATAGGTGATCATAAAATATTGAGGACCTCACACATCGAATTCGCCCTACATAATAACATGTTCAAATAAACCTTCAGCATATTTTTTATGTTTACCTTATTTGTTAAATTTCAGTCTATGAATACACTTTTCTTTGTTTCTTCTCTGAATTCTTGCAAATTATAAATAGAATGAAAATCGAACCGTTCGTCGCGATCGTAAGGGTCGTGTAATTTCTGAGGCAACTATGCGAGAAGTAAGTATCATCAGATGTTCTCTAAGTTCTCCGTGTTGTACTCTGTTTGGAACTCACACGTTTAAAAATGTTTTGGCACACATTCACAAAATGGAAATGATTTCGAGCATTTTAAGTTTGATGAAAATCAGTACATTTTAGTACAGATTTCGACTAAATCGTGATCACTTTATAATACGAAACATTGTTGTATCCTTGATTTTAGTATCAACTAAAATTCTATGGACTTAATATTTATTGAGCTAACGTTTCAGCGCAATGTTCTATTTGTGGGACTTCTGTTTTTAAGAGTCACTATAGTACAGTGGGGTACTATTTCTATGTAGATAAAGATTAGTGTTTTTATTTTTTTATTAAGGTGAAGTATTTACATAAGTTTGAAATTTATTAGCATTTAATCTTCTGAACCATCATACTAAGCACATTTAAGAAATTTAATTGTCACATTGAATGGCCGGTACAAATTCATGAGACATCTATCATCTGTTGTCCCATTATACCATGAATCATTATTGTTTTAAAGGTATTTATTTAGAATTTTAATGGATCTCAAAAAAGTGATATATTACATACTGAGCCAATCAAGTTGGGGTCGTGTATGTGCAAAGAGATTTTCATCTCTCAAAGGTGACTTGTTTGTAACATTATTTGCTTCCTCGAGATGTGTTTGTGTATCTGTAGAAACATGTAATTTCGGGAAACAGCAGAAGACCCACCACTTCCATGTTATAAATAGACAAATTAACTTTTTTACTAACTGGTCTCCGATATAATAGTTTAGTAGTAATAAAATTTAATTACTCATTTACTCTATAACTTGTCTAGGTCCATTATAAATTCTGATTTGGTTTAGCTTGAGTTAATCCGGTTGACTGTATTCAAAAAACCACCACTAATTGTAATCCCCCTGATACAATTTCCAAAGATTGAGTTTAATAGTCGACTCTTTATTGGTCAGAAAATTAGTGACTTGCAAGCCAATTTTCTCCAATAGTATATGACATTTTATTTTCTTCATTTTGTGTCACTTTATTAAATAAAAAACCCTATTCATCGAGTTAGTGACATTGTCGCTGGTTTCTAATAATACGGGGCCCATGTCAATTATGCTGTAGCCATCACTCGGTTACACTATATCATTGCGTCCATCTATCGATTATCATTCTACTCATTGATATTACCGATCGAAATTCATCTGATCAAATTGCAGAAAACTCTCCTCCATGACACCGCCTCAGATGGTTATGTTTATATCTATCCAACTAGATATTGTATGGCTTTACTTTTGTCAATAATTGTTGGGGATGTTAGATCACCAGAACTCACTTGGTAAATGCCTTATCTTCTTAATTCTATTTTTAAAAATTGAATTTCTTGTTTTAGCGCCAAAAGTACCTATTTTCACCTTCATGTCGCATTTCCCACTTGGGAGGACCTTAAATGCTATTGGTTCGTTGTCTCTTTTAGTATACTATTGGTCATTGTATCACAAATTCTCCGTTTCGTTCTCAGGTTAGGTGAACTCGTAATCTCTTCAAACATAGCAGCAACAGTGCAAAAAATTACATCGTTTATCAATTACCTGATTCGGACGTTTTAGTTGTCAAGTATTTATCTCAAAAGATAATCGTATCACTTGTACTTTTTGATAATTCGAATGCAATTCTTTCTCGTTTATTTGCACTCGATTTTTAACGGTTGGGGTGTAGGCTGAGACCTTACTATATCTACGTTGGTAAATACTATTGGCTTGTTTCGACAGCTATGCGTCTCCAGCCCTAGTTCACAGGCTTGAAATCAGTTGAGTTGTTAAAATTCAAGTGGCCCAAGTGTTCAGATCGCCACCTGGCGACATCCCTCTGCATCTCAAGCCTGGACTCAGATTGACCACATCGCGATCAGCTACCGCTGGCGTGGTTGTGTACAAGACTACCGCTCCTTTTGGAGTACCTATCTGGACTCTGGTCATGCTCTGTTCTGCGCCAATCTTACCTTACTTTTCAGTGGACAACGAAGTGACCACCACCAAAGGATTGATGTCAGCAAGTTGGTTTCGACTTCTGTTGCAAGTAAGTATCGAATCGAGCTAGCTTCTAGGCTAGCTACCATTCCACCGAAAAGTATAGATGAGCATTGGTTGCAACTGCATGACGCCATGAGAATGGCGAGTAGAGCCGCTTGCGGCTTCGCGAGACGTCCCGCTTATAAGCACTGGGCTTCTTCAGGTCCTTGCAACTCATCGAAGCCCGTCGGTCTACTCCGGGTAATCGTGAGTCTGACCACAAACGAAGGCTGTTACGTAATGAAATCGGGCAAAGCTTGCGTAAAGACCGAGAAGCCTGGTGGTCGGAGCGTGCTAATGAGCTGAAAGCAGCAGCTGCATCTGGTAACTACCGGAAGCTCTTTCAACTCATCCGAGCCACTGGCAGCAAGAAGTCTGGTGTGAGCGAAACAATCTGCGAGGATGACGGGATGCCAATCACTAACATCCACCGACGTCTTGTACGATGGGCAGAATTCTTAGAAGGGCAGTCCGACTGGTCTGCTGCTCTGGTAACATCGGTCAGACTGTCCGACCCTCCATGGCCGGTGACGATTGATGCACCAAATGATGCGGGAGTCCGCAAGGAACTCCAACTCTTGAAGCGTTACAAATCACCGGGCTCAGATGACTTATCTCCGGCCGTTTTTAAAAATGGTAGTGACTTTCTGACTAAGGAATTGACGACGTTGTTTACAAAGGTTTGGGAGCTGGAGAGTGTACCAACGTCATGGAATGAGTCGATAGTTGTCCCTATCTTTAAAAAGGGTTCACGTCGTTCCTGTAACAACGATCGGGGGATAAGTCTACTTCCGACTGCGTCCAAGCTATTGGCTTCCGTCATACTCCGTAGGTTGTTCAAAACCCGAGAAAGATTGACTCGCGAGGAGCAGGCTGGTTTTCGTTCTGGTCGAGGATGTATTGATCATATCTTCACCCTCCGCCAAATGTTGGAACACCGTCATACTTATCAAAGGCCAGCAATCGTAGTGTTTCTTGACATTAGGGCTGCCTTCAATTCGATGGACAGGACTGTTCTCTGGGATTGTCTATTGAAGAAGTCTGTGCCTGAGAAGTTTATTAACATCCTAAAGGCCCAAGCCATGCAATCCGCACTTAGTCAGTTGGCAATCAGTGTCCGTAGGTATGTTATGTGCTTTGCATCTTCTTAGTGCAAAGTACTTCTACAAGACTGGCAGGATTCTAATCCTGTACTCACCCTGGTTGGTGAGCAGATAGAAGTAGTCGAGAAGTTCGTGTATCTGGCGAGCTGCATAAGTGCTGGTGGTGGTGTGAGTGATGAGATCAGTGCACGTATAGTGAAAGCCAGAGCGGCTTATGCCAATCTGTGCCATCTTTGTCACCTTCGTGATGTTAGTCTGGCTGTAAAAGGTCGGATCTACAAACGCGTCGGTGAGAGCAGTTTTGCTCTATGCTTGTGAAACCTGGCCTCTCGGAGTTGAGGATGTCAGACGACCCTCTGTGTTTGATCATCGTTGTCTCCGAAGGATTGCTGACATCCAGTGGCAACACCATGTTAGTAATGCAGAGGTTCGGCATCGTGTGTTCTGGCACAGAGATGATAGTGCAATTGGTGTCACCATCTTGAAACACAGACTTCGGTGGCTTGGACATGTTCTACGAATGTCGTCCCAGAGAATTCCACGTCGTGCATTATTTGCGGACGCTGGAACTGGTTGGAAAAAGCGGAGAGGTGGTCAGTGTATGACATGGTGTCGGGGTATGAAAGAAAGCTGCAAGAGGCTGGCTTGTGTTGGTCCTTCACGACTCCCTGGCTAGGGTCCTAGAGATGGCGCGACACAGTGGCTAGAGACGTTATCAGATATGGCTCAGAATAGAAGCCAGTGGCGATCGTGCTGTAACCTTCTTTTACTTTCTTCATAAAAAATGGTTGTATCTTCCTTAACTGAAAAATTCTTCCGATTGTACCTTTCCGTTTCCCCCATCATTACGATTATTATTATTATTACTATACTACTTTACACTAATCTGTTAGTTAGTTCTCCTTTTTTTCTCTTCGAATTCTCTTTGTTTTTTATAGCGCATATATATATGGTGCCCTCTTGCACCAACATTTGTGTTGAAATAAATAAATAATAAAGAACTAGACTTTCAACCACTGTTGTGGAGGAGAGTTTTCTGCAATTTGATCAGATGAATTTCGATCGGTAATATCAATGAGTAGAATGATAATCGATAGATGGACGCAATGATATAGTGTAACCGAGTGATGGCTACAGCATAATTGACATGGGCCCCGTATTATTAGAAACCAGCGACAATGTCACTAACTCGATGAATAGGGTTTTTTATTTAATAAAGTGACACAAAATGAAGAAAATAAAATGTCATATACTATTGGAGAAAATTGGCTTGCAAGTCACTAATTTTCTGACCAATAAAGAGTTGACTGTTAGACTTAATACTTGGACAACGTATCAACTACTGTGTTGCAAGTTTGAACCCCGATTAATATGCTTCGTGTTGGGTAGCTGTTTTATCGTTAAGTTTTATATAAAAAGTGGGACCTCAAACCATATACATAAGAATCTGTTTGTGGTAATCGATTAGCACTGATTATCAGATCAGTATATCGCAAACTGGGGTGTTTAGGTTCTTCAGTTGACTTCGGTTTTCTAAAGATTTTTACTTGTTGTCAATTTATCACGGCACTATATTTTGAGCTCAATGGATTTATTTTCAATGTCTCTTGACCACTTTGCACTTATTCCTTGCTGTTTCGTTTTCCGCGATCTACATATATTGTTTAAAATTTTATAGGGTTCAATCCAGTTAACACTAAATGCTAGCGATAACAATCAACATAACACAAATGGTAACGTCAGTCATAAAGCTAAGAGGTCATCAACTATCATAAAACATCGTTCGAGTACTTCCCGGTGCTTACCAAATAGGTCAGCATCTCTACCTGAAGTAACAGCTAGTTCTCCTTCAGAGTTGATCTCTGTTAAAGGAAGAAAGCTGAGTTCACAAAATTATTTATCAAAGAATGAAACTATTAGTCGCCAAATCACTAATGGATCCATGGTTGTGCATAAAGTAAAACAATGTGAATCACCACATTTACAATCAGAACTTAAGCGTTCTCATGTTCACCATAAAGACAATCAGTCACCTCTTGATATCTTCACACTATCTAAGGATACTAGTAATGCAGGTCTAGTTGAATCTCATGTTGACACACAACTAGCGTCATTAACTTCAGGTGGACCGATAGCCTGTGGTAATAATGAAGACGGGAAACAGTTTCGTAAAGTTATTCGACATTTGTTAGATGATCCTTGCGAATCTCACTCATTATCAAAGTCAGATAATATCAAACAGAGTGTACGTCGTAAAAGCAAAACAATTGAAAATGATAACAAGTTAACATTTAATTATCCAATTATTGATGATTACCTAAGTTTACATTCATCATCATGTCACGATCAGCGCGATAGTCGAAATTCTTCGTCATCACCGTATGTTTCTTCATTATCGTCGGCTAATCGATCTCCGAATTCTCAAATTGACGAAATCACTTCTTTGAATAGCTTGACAAAACGTTCTGATCTGGAATTAAAATCAGTTCAATCACCTGATCTTTCTATTTTCCCAGAAAATAAACTAGATAAGGGTAAGTTATTCTATATTTTTGGTTTAAAATATTCATAATAAGTAATAATTTCTGTCCAATAACTACACCATGATCTACAAATACTCTAAAGGTTGACTTTGGTTACTGAAAGCTTTGTTCATGAACAACTTTGGTGTCAACAAATGTGTTTATAGGGTTGTGATCATTTATCAACCAAAGCAATTGGGTTATGTATTAGGTAGATCTCATTCATCTACCTTGGTGTATTGTACTGGTTCAATTATCAACAAGTTGGTAAGACAGAATGGTCAGATCACATTGTGAAGTTACCCTGATCCTGACCGTATTGGGAAATATAGACTTCCTCCTCGTAGTCTGTACAACTACTTTCGTTCATTGTTGGGAATGATTTTCACTGGTGCAGATTAATCTGTTGTTACTTCTCCAAACTTTAAATGTTGTTTTATTCTACCTTTAATTCCCCATTTCCCGTAACTTTCTTTTAGATTTTTATTACTGTTGGCTTCAGCACTCTCATTCCTTTATTCAACTTCTATCTATCTGCTGTACTGATATGGTGTTTAGACCTGAATCAAGTTTCTGACGCACATTTCTGTAGGATTCTACTTAATTCATTGATCCGGTTAATAGAAAAATTTATTGGTCAGAAACGTGTAACTTCTTTGTTTAGAGTAACCACAGTTGTGGTAACACGTTCTTTTTTATGTTCTCAAAATCAAGTATTTTTCCAGATGTTTTTAAACAATCAACTCTAACAAATAACATAGTTTTTTTTAACTGAGGAATGGACCTCTAAATAGGGGGTTCATTCATAGGTGAGTGTTAAACTGGGACGAACTGCTAAGAGTTGTTGGCTTAAGTTCAATTAATAGTAATTTTAGCGAAACTAAAACTTGTGTTTAAAAGTATGTAGATGGACAAACGTTCGTTATTAATGAGCATTCTCAAGTTCACAACCCAGAATGTTGTAGATAGTGTGTTGCGATGTAGGAGGGATAACTATAACGACGCTGCAACACTGGATATAAAAACTTTTCTCTCCTAACCACAGTTACTCAAAATGATAAATCTTGTAATGATTTACTGTAATGAACCAAAGAATATTGGTTTACACCCAACTTAATTGTATATTGATTAAATTTAATGCTTATTATTTACAAAAATCTCCACGTGTATCAAATTATAGTAAGTTTACGAATACAGTGTCAAATGCATCAGAAATCGAATTCATTGATACTGAAGTTAATAGACAAAACCACTTTATTCTATTGTGGAGATTTTATGTTTGGTTTTTCCGTAGGACGTTATACTTGGAGAATTAGAGTCCCTAACAGTAGTGTGCCTTCAACACTCAAATTTCAAAAAGCTGTGATTTTATCTTGGATATTCGACTTATTATTCGGACTTGAATTGTCATATTGTTGTGGAGTTCTGTAATCCTCGTTTCATATTGTTTGGATTTTTACTTTATTTATTACAATAATCATAAATTCTCTTAAATAGAAAACATTGTTTTATACAGGCTTTGGTGATTTTTAACATGAATTCTGTTTGATTTAATAGTAACATACCTGCCGATTTTATTTTCACTTATAATCATGATTATTGCACATGCGATTTTATATGTTTTGCAGGATACACATAATTATGCTTGAACACTGTACTAGAAAAAACACCTATTTATCTAATTGCATATTGCTTAATGTTTTGAGTAGATATTTGTAGACCTATCAATAACAGTGGATAGCAATCATTTGTGATATTGTATTGTTTATTCTTTGGTATTAGCTTTATGTTGTCGAGTAAGCTTTTCTTCATGATGTAACTGTTGAGGATGTTGAACATCCAGAAGGCTATGTACTTACTGGTTATTTTCGTTTTTGTAAACCTGAACTTCTTTTTTTTAAAACCTTAACCTCCTACGGGAATCATCCATCACTTTCCTACTGCTAGGTTGTTTTATTACACCTAATATTTGCCCCTATTTCAAGCTCCTTATACATCTGTTGATTTGCATATGTCAGTCTTTCTCGGTCTCAATCAATAACTCTTCTTTAATTATTTGGGTAGCCAAGTAGGATAATGTTCGGAGATGAATTTTGAAAGAGCTCGCTTTGTGAGGTCAATATAACCTGCTCCACATGAGCAACTAAACTGATAGATGCACATTGATTTAGTCCAAAGCGGGCGCTTATCTTCAACATAATTTCGGATCAAAGGCCGACTAGAAAAGATAATGAGAAGTTCAAATGAGTAGTACGTTTTCTTCAGAGATCTTGAAAGTCTGTTTTTCAGAACTTCTGCTACAATGCCTCCTTTAAACTGAATGATCATGAAGAGAGTGTTCTTTGGTGCTGCGGACATTCCTTCACGTTGTTGTTTTGGCTTCAGATTTTTTTCAATGAACCAGTGTCTGCCGTAGTTTGTCAAGTTCGTTATCGTTTGTATCCTCGTTACAGATGCGTCTAGCCGGAAGTTTCCTTCATAATTATAAATATAGTCAAAAGAGTTGGCTCAATAGGAGTGTAAATAGGAAACTTATGTACAGAAGAGGCTATTGCTATCCACCAGTTCAAGCCTCACCGTAGCTTACAAAAACAGTATGTTCAATCCCTCATTCTTCCATGACCATAACCTCCCTTTCTATGTCCCAGTATCTGTCGTTTTTTCATTTATTTTGTCACTTCTACCACTTTCCAATGGTTTCCACACCTACTAATTAATAATTATTATATTTAGTAATTATGTTCATAATAACTATGAAGTGGACAATTATTTCACCTTACCAAATATTACATAATTTCCTTTCAATATCTGATTTTCAATTCTTGACAACATGCAACTTCAACTTCTTTAATTAATTGGCACCTTTCTGTCTCACTATAGAACACTATTTTAGCAAATGAAGTCGTCGAAAAAAATGTTTACTAAATTGCCTCCCTTCTTCCATGACGCAATGGATCTCATTCGTTATTTAAAAACATGCAAGGATCCCGTGACAGTAAAAGAACTTAACGGGTTTCTAAGATTTTCTGTTAAGCTTGCTGTAACGTATGCTGGTATCACATTTCTAAAAAAGCTGTATAGACAAACGAGAATATACAAGACCATACTGAAAATCATTTCGTTGAAGCCATATCCGATCAAACCATCGTTCTCTTAAACGTCTTACATTAAATAATAATAATGAAATCAACTCAAGATTACCAGAAGTCGAACGAGATATTTCGTTGAGAACATATCTGTTATATGAACTAACAGAAGGTGAACGTAACGCATTTGAAAAACACATACATACAGTATTAAAGAAACGCTCAGAGGATATGAATATGAAGTTGATGAGAAGTCTAAAACCAACGAAAGTGCACGCTTCTTTTCTAGAAATTCCTAAGAAATACGTCTTTAACTACTCTAATAACACTATCAACGACGCAATTACAAGCACCGTCGCTAGGTCCGAAATTCTGCGATGGTTCTACAAATGCCAGTGAGCTTAGCACAAAAATTCAGTTTAAAAGCCTGATCCATCAGACAAAAGACCTTGTTCCTGTATCCAACAAAGAACTCAAACAACTTAAAACCAATTGTAAATTGTTTTAATCAATATACCAATAAGAGGGTGACAGGTGAGCGACTATATTTCAAATGTATTCTTCCTGATATTAACAACAAAGGAAAAGTTCAAAAGGATGCTACAGATCAAAGTGAGCAGAAATCGACTAAAATCATTAGGAAGACGAAAGATGAATCGATTATCAGTGAGCATCTCTATAGAAAAGTTAGACTAACTGGATCCATTATATCACGATTATATGGCCTACCTAAATTACATAAGAAATATAACCCATTACTTCCTATACTAGATATGAATAACTTGCCATATCGTGCTGTCGCTAAATGGCTAGCAGAAGTTCTACGACCATTCAGAAATCAACTCAGTCGATACTTTACTGCTGATTCGTTTGACCTTGTTGATTCAGTATTAAGTGTTAACGTAACCGGAAAGTGGATAACGTCACTTTTTACATATGTACCTCTAACGGAAACAATCTACCTACTATGTGATTATATTGAAACCCGATGTTGGTGTTCCAATACAATGTTAGAAGGAATTACAGCCTCTGCCAGGGAAGTCATACTCACTGTCTTCTCGTGGCGGAGGTGTTGTTTACGAAAATGGAAGGATGAAAAGCGAATGTCCGGCGGTTTAACAGGATTCCAAACCAATGGTGCACATGGGCTCCAGTATCCTGAGGAAACCAATGGCGTATGAGCCAATCGTTGATCATCGGCTACCATGGGACTGTGTTATAATCTCAGTTTTTCTTACGGTTAATGACCCAGCTATTCCTATTTCTTAGTATTCTTGGACACCGATTCACTCGACAAGTCCCCAAATCAGAACACGTTTGAACAGGAAAAAGATTATATTCCAAATAGCAAGTCAGAAGTTAGTAGGAAGCACAATAGGAGAAAACGTCGGTATATTTATAGTTTTTACATAAGAAGATTCCAGAGTATTCTCCAACTATCGACTAGTGCTGATTGGATAAGAATCAGCCAATCAGCGTGCACCAAAGCAATCATGCATTGAGCATGCTTTAATCTAGTCTGTGTCCCGCTAACACCTCCCCTCTGAGCAGATTCGTAGGATCTGGTGCTAGGGTCCAACTGCAACTGAGTGACTGGCTTGTGCTTTCGACTAGTCCATCGTCTAGGCAATAGAGAAGTATCACTCTTTTCTTGCACAGAAACTGATGTATCTATTCCCGGCGTTTTGATTTCAAAGGTGTCTAGCAGAACATCAAGAGGTAATCGATATTGAATCTTGTTGCTGGCTATCGAAATTGCTTTCAATTGGTTAGCATGACGTACCCAAACTTCTGAGCCAACTGACACCTCGTAAACCACACTCCCCTTCTTTCTCAAGATCCGACCAGCTGTCCATGTAGGATGTTTCTCACGATAGTCCATAGCAAGTACTTCTTGTCCCACCGTGAACAATCGTCTTTGTGCCCCATGATGTCGGTTGAACTGATTCTCCATCGATAGGTTTCGTTGGGGTTCAATAGCTGGCGTAGGACGGATGACATCGAAATGTGTCCGTATTTTTCCTTTCGGTTTTCCTAGTAACCTATCACCTGTCTTCTTTGGAAGTACTGGGGTGTCCAATGATGAACGCGATACGTTACAGACACTTAATTGGTACATCCATTATTCCAAGTTTGTCTAACGTATCTAGACCAAGAAGATCAAGGTTCGGCCGTTCTGTTAGGTAACATATTCCTGTACAGTTAGTTCCCTTGAAGGAAAATTCACACTGTAATTCACCAACCAGTTTTAGCACACCACCTGATGCGTTTTTAGCCGTTTTCTTAGATGGCTTCATTGGCGGTTTACCCAGCAAGTTATACGTTTCTCTAGACACTAACGTGATATCTGATGCCGTGTCAATTTGAAGATAAGCTGATATGCCGTTTATCTGGATGGTAACATACTTTCTCTGAATGTCATAGTTTGTTTGGAAGACAGCTACCAAAGAAAGAGATTTGGACTCGGCTGATTTCACATATCGAGGACGTTTATGCTTCTTCTTAGGCTGAGACGTACGCTTCGGTGGACAATGACCTTCTTTATGTCCACGTTTGTTGCACGCCTGACATTTATACTTCTTGAACGGACAGAATCGTGCAAAATGCCAATCACCGCATAACCAGCATGCAGTCCTTGGTTTGTTACGAGTTGTTACCGGCTTCTGAACTTTCAACCTAGTAATAGTATTTACACTACCGCAGGTTAAATTAGGATTTACCTGTTCAATCAACTCGTTGTCGTGTCTGATGCTTTGTAGACGCTTACACTCATCTGTCAATGTTCTGAGTGTGACGTTTGGGTCTTGATCCAGTCGAGCTAAAAGTCTAGTCCTGATCTCAGCATCTTGTGGTGACTGAAGAGCTTTGATGAATATTAAGCATTTAAATTGGTCATCGGTCAACGAGCGTAACTTGAAACGTTCACATTCTCTGTTGACAATGTCTGCTAGAACACCATATTCATCAGCTTCGCGTTTCACCAAATTTAGACACCGATATCGAATACTAAACAACGAGGATGACTCGCCGAATATCTCTGACAACTGAAATACCGTCTCCTCGAAACTGAGCTCTCGAGGTAACTTTGACAATATATGGTCAGCAAAACGTGCATGTTCACTGCTTCCCAACTTACGTACCAACAATCGGGTCTTCCACGCATCGTCTTGGTTACAGAATTCTGTTCTAAATGTATCTTCCCAACGTTTGAACCACGTGAGAAAAGTATTTCCACTTTCGGGATCATAGATGAATTCTGGGATGCTGCTAGCGACTGCATCACAACACGTACTTGAAATAGCATGTGAATTCGAGCAGTGGATGTTAAGCTGTTGAGTCAGAGTC